GGAACATAGTTCCTCGAAACGAGCACGGGAAACTCGTGTGTAGAAATCAATACCATCTACCAAAGCGTCAATCTCTAGGGTAGCCTCTGAGCTGGATGACAATGTTCTCTTAGCCCGTTCAGCGGCCGTCCTCAACCGTCTTAACGCCTTCGGATTGGTACGCACATCCTTTTTGGTTTTCCTCTTAAACTCGTCGGCCAAATGATTCACCAGCCGATTGTCAAAGTCTTCACCGCCCAAGTGTGTGTCACCAGCCGTGGATTTAACTTCAAATATCGAACCTTCATCGATCTGTAAAACTGAAACGTCGAAGGTGCCACCACCCAAGTCGAATATCAAGACGTTTCTTTCTCCTTTCAGGTTTTTGTCTAAACCGTAGGCCAGGGCTGCAGCCGTCGGCTCGTTAATTATCCGCATTACGTTCAAACCGGCTATGGCTCCCGCGTCTTTAGTAGCTTGTCTCTGTGAATCGTTGAAGTAGGCCGGCACCGTAATGACAGCGTCCGTCACGTTACGACCCAAGTACGCTTCCGCGATCTCCTTCATTTTCGATAACACCATCGAACTAATCTCTTCCGGAGCAAACACTTTACGCTCACCTTTAAATTCCACTTGGATCTTGGGCTTTCCGCCGTCGTTTATCACTTTGAATGGCCAATGCTTAATGTCCGTTTGTGTCTTATCATCGTCATAACGACGGCCGATTAAACGTTTGGCATCGAACACCGTATTAACGGGATTCATCGCCACCTGGTTCTTGGCCCCATCACCGATCAATCGTTCAGTGTCGGTAAACGCCACATAACTCGGGGTGGTTCTATTACCTTGATCATTGGCGATGATTTCTACTTTTCCGTGTTGCCAGACACCCACACAGGAATAGGTGGTGCCCAGATCAATACCGATCGCTGTTTTTCCACTCATTTCGCCAATCGTCGATTTAAATACGCACAATAAACACGAAACTGAAATGTGAATATTATGTATACTATAAAACCACAATTCAATTTCAACACGACTTAAAAGCACTATTTCGACCGAATTTAGTTAAACGCTGGAAAATAATGCGAGTGAAACACTGAGTCGTACAAGTTAAAAACAAATTAATATCTCGTTAGACAAATCGCACGTAACCACCATGAATTCAAATTACAACTGAAGTCGACCAATGTGCTGTTAGCGCTTATATAACACCGCCGAACAATCGAGAAGGTTCGGTATGTTTCGTGAAGCACTGTTGTGAGACATGAGCGCAGCCGGTCGTCCCACCGTACAACAGCTACAATACCGCCACCTGTACCACTATTATTATTATCATTGCTATATACATGTGTGATGTTCGATAATGTAGACCATTCGCGAATTTTCTTCGCTTTTCTCGTTAATTCGTTATTTTCACGAGTGGCGGTTACAACAAACTTTTAAGTTGGTGAGGGGTGAGGGGGAAATAATAAACAAATATCATAGGACAACAATGTTGGAGTCGTTAGAGAGCCCAAAATCTTTTTTCAATATTTTTTCGAAATTATATAAATATTTCAAGTACCTACCTAAAACAAACATTTTTTATTACACATATCGTATGAAATTATTCAAAACACTAAATAGGTAACACAAAGAAAAATACATTACGTTTATAGTAGCTATATATAATATATTATTCAATATGTCAAAATACCATAATATTATACAAGGTACCTATTTATAATATTTTTAGATTGAGATTTAGATTATCGTGATATTGCAATGAGAAACACATTGCAACCAAGCTTCGGATTAAGGATCGATTGGGCTCCAGGACACCATAAACTTACTGAGCCCCTTTATTTAATTCTTTGATTCAAAAAAACTGTATCAACATTTTAAAGATTGTATATTATTATATAATTTTGTGCAATACAAAAATAAAATAGATATAATAAGTCTAATAGTTATGCAATAATTTATTATACATATATTTGATAAAAACGCTATTTGTTAAAAAGAATAATAATTTTGAAGATAAAGATGGGCCCCCAAAATCTATCAGCCCCAGAACCGTGCCCCTCTAGCTTCCCCTTTATTTCGTGCTTGATTGCTATAATAAAATAATGTTTAACAGCCATGAAAAAAAGAAGAGTAAACGACGAAGCGTGACGTTCCGAATAATAGACGTAAGTAGTGGTAATAATCAGGGCTGTGATTTCATGCATTTATATGTTATTTTTTGTTACATCGTATAATAAGATGATGGATTTGATCAAAATTTATTTTGTGTTATTTATAAATTAAATACGAAATCTTATTTAGTATATTTTTGCATATTTAACCGGTAAGGGCATATAAATGCATGATTTCACAAGTTCCTCGTGTTATTGATTTTTTTTCACATTTTAATAATATGTTTTTTTCATTTGTGAAATTTTTTGAATTTGGACGATACAATTTTACCATTGTAATTTTATCGTGGTGGTAGTAATAGCAGGAACATTTGTTAAACCTGGTTTAGAGTGGCATGCAATACCGTAGACTCCTGTTATTATCGTGTGATCTATATCTGTGGTCAAAAGTCAATTATGAAACATCTATAATCTTAATTTATTATATTAATATAGTACACAAACAAACGATAATATTGTCGTCGTCTCTCACGTGGTAATACGTTGTTCATGGCAGTTCGTAATATTTTCGTTTAAATTCTCCATTAGTTAATGAGCATAATTTTAAAATGATAAAAGAAAAAAAGAAGACATTCAGTAATTATATAATTACAATATTAATTTAAATAAAAAATTTTTTCATCCAGCATATATGGGTATAATTTTTTTTCTAATTGCATATTTTGAAATTTTATAATGCATATTTTAAAGCATATTTCACTTGCTTTTAGTGCACAAATTAACGCATATTTAAGACTTTTAGTGCATGAAATTTACAGCCCTGGTAATAATATTACTATATTATGGTATAACTGTACAAGGACAAAAATAAATAAAATATAATACTATAATTTAAAAATAATATAACATCAGTGCACAAATAATTTAACGAATTTCAGATACGATAAAAAATAAAATTTAGAAACAAACAATTAGTACCATGTTTAATACTCAATTTAATGATTTATTATGAAAATAAAATACAGACCAAGAGGGGAAGCGATTCACCTATCAACCCCCATATAGCTGTCACTGACTTTCACCGAATTTGTTTACTTGGTAGTTGGTACCTACTATAGTTTATAGTACTATCTATTAACAGTACATATTTATTTCAATGTAAATTTAATTATCAGTGGTTAGAATAAGTTAGATACAGTGATATTCCTATCAAATTTTTGAGAGAATTACTCAACACAATTTTAAAAATTTCAATTAAAAACATTAGGGTGGCAAGGTATTAAAAAAAATAATGTTCTGTGAACCATATGTCGTAATTTTCAAAATAATAATAATAATTTTGTGATAAAATTAAATTTGGTCTAATCAGTATAATTATGCGCTATCATAGTATTGGATAAGCATTTTCATGACTATTATTGGTATTGCCAGTGAATTATTATGTATTATGTCATCCCAGATTCTATTCGACAAAAAACAATGAACGCCATAATCATACATCACCTATATCTGGCATTTAATTTACATGAATTTATATATTTTTATAAATTATAAGTCACCTCACTTATTAGTTACAATCGAAATATTTTGATTTTTAAGTGTCTTCATAGTGACCATAGTTCATATTAAGGTATTAAGTATTGATTGAAAATATATTGACATATTATTTAAAACAAAATGTTAAGAGTATATATTTTATTTAAATCCTAGGAATATAAAAGCCAAAAGGTATTACATTTTCAGAAATATTTGTATATTTAATTAAAACAAAATTGATCTGATTTTTACCTACCTATTGTAAGTTGTAAATTACTATTTTTATAAAATATGAATTTAAAATTACATTCCAATTAATAACTCATAAATGTATTAAAAAATTATAGAGTTTGATACTTCCTTTGTCTGAGATGAAATTTAGTAGAGTTCTGAAGATATTTATGTATCAATATCATGTTTGTATAATTTCAAACATAAAATTTGTAAGTACTTTTTTGAAAGTGTTTACTATTTTTATATTTTTTACTTGGAGAAGACACAGGCTCTAACCACGAACAAAAGCTAATTTTATACTTCAAAAAATGCATTCAGCAGTCAGCACATGCATTATGCACTAGTACCAATTATTTTAGAATACATGATAAGAAACAAGGAAGTTTTTAATGAAAGATCCTATTTTTTATTATTATTAGAAGTAAAGGAGATTATCATTTTTAAGGCTGTTTTATTTTGCTTATATTATTAATGTTTGTTATTTTTAATGACATTTTTAAGTCCCTAATCCTAACATGAATTAAATCATAATTGTTTTTATTATTTAGAAAAAAATACAAGAAAAACGCGAATACAATATATTGTGTACTAATACTAATGTGTACATTAAGAGAAGATGACCTTATTTAAAAAAATAAAAAAACAGCAAAAATTATAATCATATTTTTAAACTAATATTTATTAAAATAATGTTTAATAATAATAATAATAATAATGTTATATGAAAATATCGTAAAAAATAACGATTTTTTTTTAAAATCAATTTCAAAAGTTATAAATTATAATAGTAAGTAAAGCAAAAAAACAGGATTAATACGGAACAGACTTTAAAATAAGGGACAAAAAGCGTCCTGAAAGAAGATTGTCAGGACAACAGGACACTAAGTTAAAATAAAAGACAATTCTGTATAAAACAGGACGTATGGTCACCCTATGGGCTATGTTAAGAAAAAGTAGTAGGTACCTGATACTCTTGTCTCCTCCATAGATATTTAAAAATATTTTTACATAGCTGTGTGCCCCTCGAACTATATATGTTTTGTAATTTATAATGCCTCCATAGCAATTTAGAATTCGTTGTTATCATTTCTATTGGTGATAATAGTTTTGATAAGTCGTTGATATCAAACGTGTTGTAAAGTTAGAAAAAGAAATCTCAATGTCCGGTGTCGAGATTTATTGAGTTAGGTTATAAATAATTATAATAATTAATAGTTTGTAGTTCGTATTTTATTTCATTACGTGAAATAAACATGAGTTTCACAGTTTCCAAGTGTTTTTGCAACGTCGTACGGACGTTATCTCGCTCCAATTATACGAGCGCTATAAGCTTGAAAAATCTTCACCCAAAGAGTTCGTTGAAAATTACCACACCATCACCTGAACAGGTACATATATATTAGCATTAATTTAACCATATAACCCAGTATTTCAATAGTAATAACTAATGTCTAACAGCCTACAATAGCAATGAGACCATAATGTTAAAACCTATTTATGTATTTATATTTGTTATATCTTGAATTTTCATTACTAAATTGTTTATTTTCTTTTCTAGTTGTCAGTTGGCGACAATATTTTTACGGGATATATACCAATAGAAGAGCTGGAAATCACATATAGCACTTCTAGTGGTCCAGGTGGTCAGAATGTCAACAAGGTCAATTCTAAAGTTGATTTGAGATTCAAGGTGGAATCGGCAAAATGGCTCAATGAAGAAGTCCGACAGAAACTAATCAATATAGTAAGTTAATGAAAACAAAATAACAAGGAAAAAGACATACAGTATGGATATGATATATAGTAATTTGTTTTTAGCATCAAAATAAACTGACTAAAGAGGGATATTTAATAATTCGATCAGAAAAAACACGGTCACAGCAACTCAATCTTGCAGATGCCATGGAACGATTACGTTCTCTTGTATGGAAAGCTGTTGAACCTGAACCAAAGCAATCTGAGGAAACCATTGAAAAAATAAGACGCAGGTAACAATATATTTATTTAAAATATCTATATAAAACTTAATAGTCTGAGTTTGAATTAATAATTATTTTAATATTAGGATGGAGAAAGCAAACAGCAAAAGATTAATAGAGAAGAAAATGAAGTCCTTGACCAAGAGCAATCGTCAAGCACCAACAGTGTTCTAAATATATGTAATATGTAAAACTGCATAGTATGTATTATGTATTGATTTAATAGGGCAACAAGACAATTATTCACATTGTTTCAAATTTTTACTTTTATTAATATTTAATACAAAATATTATTTGTACATAAATTTTATGGAGTTGTTTATTTTGTTTCAATTGTTGCTTCTAGTAGCTAATATAACCAAATTCAATCATAAAAGTCATTGTATACATCAGGTTTGAGTATACCTTATATTAGAGTAGGTTACTGTTATGAATGTATTATATTTAAATTCTATGTAATAAATCATTGATTATAACATTTATAACCAAAACTAATTCGACTGTTATTAATTTAAAAGTCAATATTAATATGTAGAAATGAATTCATAGTTTTATGAACTTAAAATGTATATTAATATTTTGAAATAATTTCATTGTATGTAATTAATAGGTAATAATTTATACCATGGAAAAAATTTCAAATCCCTAAAATAATATTTTTAGAGTTATAACTAAATAATTAAAAAAATTTTTTTTTCTATTATATTTCTAATTTCACAAAACTTTAAATGGAAATAAAAATAAAAATTGAGCATATTATGTACCTTTACAAGTTTTTTAGGTTTTTATAAGAACATTAAATATTTCAAAAGAAATCTATTGTGTTTAATTAGAAATTTAAGTAATAGAGGAGTGTTTCAAGTTTCTACAGTTAATATTTTTTTAATGCCTAATAATAACAATTTTTTATCGATGTTATACTATCATATATATTGATTACTTTTTAAAACCATTAAAGTGCTTGTCTAATCTATAACTCACATGGCTTGCGCAAGTTTTCTAGAATCTATTCTATAATTAATAGTGTTACGTTGTATAAAATTTAATGTGACAGTGTTTGTAAAATATGACGTATAAGGTTATCAAACAAAATTCAAGTGTAATATAAACTATATAATTGGTACCATAAAAAGTTGAAATAAGTATAAATATTTTAAAAATTGTGTTTTAATGAATATAATGGTATAAAGAAATACCATATCTGAGGAGGGTCCAAGGTGTCCACCCTCCCTCCCTACGCCAAAAAATAAAAAAATAATTTTTTTAAAAATATGTAAAAATTTTTTTTATTTTTAATACCAACATAAATAGCTTAAATTACAATTTATTAAATTGACTATCGAATATTTTGTTAAATATTATAAAAAAATATCATAGTGTCATCTGCAAGACAATGACAAACACATCAAATTGTTTTATTCAATTTTTCATGACTTTTGAGTAAATTAAATAACAAAAATATACTGTTAAATTATTTTTCTTAATTTCTAAAGGTACGCTATATAATTTGATGTATTATGTGTATTACTATATTAATAATTTGATTTAAATATATTAATTGATAAAAATCAAAATTTGAATAATTTTTTAGTTATTTTGTGTGCTGAGAATAATTTTGGTTTGGAAGATAGTGAGTTGAAAAGTTTTGTAATTAATATTGATCTATCAAAATTTGTTATTTGTAAACCTATAGACTATTATCCTTTATATAAACATCTTAATAACTATAAAATCACTCATTCGAATTAAGTACATCAAAATTTCAATAAAGGATAGAGAATATTGATAAAAATAAAATATAAAATTTAATATATGTATTTATAATGAATAAATCATTGGTAAATAAATGAAAAACGATAAAATATGTTTTGTTTTAAAGAGTGGTTATTTGCGTATTATTCCACAAGCAACATTTTTTAATTTTATACTTATATCTCATATTTTTTATTATTTTGTATATCTTACTGTTATTAATTACCAAAATAAAATTTTTAATAATATTTAGTATATAAATCTATGTATAACATTAATCAAAAATAGGTGCAATAAATGATTTAATAAATGTTTTTGATGCATTAATTGTCAAAACTATAAATTAACATCTTTATCATTTTTATGAATAATTCTCAGTTTAATATAAATATTATTTACCTTAAATTACAAAAAATATTTACTAGTGCTTGATTTTCCATAAACCTTACATGCCCATGAAAATTGTTGAGTATTTGATTACAAGCACTGTGAATTATATACTTTACTACTACAAACATACAAGAAAATTAACAAAGTCATTAAAATTCTTGTTCTACTGATAATCATTAATCTATCATTTTGATATAATGATGCTTAATACATATTTAATATTATTGATGTTTTATTTCTTCTTTATTGCATAGATCTACATATTAAATTCATAGTATTTTGGTTGTCCATCTCAAACATAATACAATAGATAGACAATAGGAGAGTTATGGATAACAGGATAGTAATTCAAATAAAATATAATTTACACAACTATTGTTAGGCTTCAGTCAACAAATACATCTTTATATTTATTTCAGCTAATGCTAAAAATAATTACATTATACAGAATAAATTATTTTATCAGCTAATACAACGCAACAGTTGATTTTACATGTTAAAAGTGTAACCATTAGCATTTTTTAGACTATTAGTATACAATTTTTCAACCTAAATAAAAGAGGATGTCACAGGTTGAAAACATTTTGCCTAACATAACTAATTAAAAATATAGTAAATTTACAAAATTTGGTTGAATACTAATTCAGTCTCTTCAAAATATTTTTTTTTTATATATATATATATATCGAACCTTGGGGCTCCATCACTTAATAAACAACATTCATAACTAAAAGAAATGTTTTATTTTTTTCTTACGCTAATAGAAAATGTGTTCATATGCGTATGAACAACATTAACACAGAAATACTTTTTTTGCAATTATTACGGTAAGGTAATGCACAAGATAATAAAAAATAAATAAAAATTTATGTACAATATAGGTACGTATAACGCATTCAAAAATCGGTCACTTGAAGTGAGCAGTATGGAAATACTATATATAAAAAAAAAACAATTTCAAAATAAAATAATTTGGTTTGATAAAAACTTAAAGCAACTAAAAGGATAATTGATTTTATAACTATCTGTTTGTTCAGTTTTCATTCTTTTTTTCATAAACAATAACAATATTATATTAAATTTTTAAATTAATATTGATCGAATAGTTTTTTTGATCTCCAAAGAAATAAAAACTGGACAAACTTAAAAAAAAAAAAAAATGAGAAAATTTGGTAAGAGAATTAATTGGTAAAAGGAAAAATAAAACTTAATTATCATAAAATTAATAGTAAACTTATCTAAAAAACAAAAATTAATAAAGATATACAACTAATCGCACCAACAATTTTTTTTTTTTTTTTTGCTTTTGGTTGAGATAATAAAATAACTAATGCCACTAATAAAAATAATAATAATAATAATAATAATAATAAAAAAAAAAAATAATAATAATAATGACTGATTATTTAATGATAATAATTTTAAATGCAATAATAGATAATTATTATTGAATATTTTGTGCGACTTAATGAACAATTTTCCAAAATTCAAATTTAAATAGAATTTGAATGAGCAATTAAATATGTATTGATTGAATAATATAAAATAAATATAATAATATTGTTAGGTTTTATAGAATAATACTTGACTACAGGCAGAATTAGAAAAGAAAAATAAGAAATTAAATAATAATCACACTTCAGGTATTATTTACCTAAAAGCATAAGTCTATATAAAAGCTACACAAATTGAAATGATCAAAATGATGCAGTCTCGAGACTTATTTAAATTAGAAATAAAACAATACATACATATTTATATATATATATAAATATAAATTAAATTATATAGCACCTTAAAGCATCTCAAATACGTTATTTGCGTATTATAGGCATGACCAAAGCATGACTATTAAATAATTAATATACATAACATTTTAATAGTTATGTTACTATTAATGAAATAATAAACAAAAATGTTTGCTACTATTGATTAAATCAGAAAAAATTGTCTATTATTTGAAAAAAAGTAAAGAGTTGTTATGATCTTTTTTTAGAAATACCTAATACATTAATATTTTGAAATTTAGAATAAACTAAAGGATGTGTAAGGAAATCATACTTAATGATTAAAAAAAAGAAACTTATGTGATCGAGTTTGATTCTTAAATATGGTCAATTGAGTAGGACATAAACCAGCAAATATATTTGATTGCTTTTGGTTTCTACAGTAACTTATTAAGAATAAAATTATGCATTAACATTGCACCATTGTACATTTAAGGCGAACTAGGTTTAAATAATTTTTTTATAGTAATCCTCCTTTGCGAGCAAAAAACATGGAACTGATGAGAGTACCCCGCGGAGGCTGAGGATCATTTGTTGAAGAACCTACAGTACCCAAATCCATACGAAGCCTGGGACCACCATCAATATTATCACTATCCAATTGTTTTAGTCGTCGTTGCAATGCACCATTTTCAGGCTTTGGGGGAATACAGTCTCCGATGTCGAATACAGGATGACCAGATATATCTGGTGGAACAGTTGGTATATAATGTTTCATTGTCTCCACAAGTCGAATACCAGCCAATGTCTACAACATTTTAAAATATGTAAAAAAGTACAATTAGAGAAATAATAATATGAATTGTTTACCTTTTTGTCTGGTCTTACGAGTGATTTTGATTTGCGGGCCTTATGGTGTTCAGTCCCTCTTTCAGTGCCTGTCAAAGTTTTTCTCAATAATTTTGCACCACTATGCATTAAATATCCTAAAAAATAATAATAATGTTTTTGTTTTAATGATGGATATTTAAAAAACTGTTAATTAATTAATAAAACTCACCAGGTAATCCAAATGGATGGGAGTATGGAGAATCTGATGGTGAAGGTGAACGAGAACGATCAGGAGATCCACCAGGTGATCCATATGGACTGTTACAAGGTGTAGCTGTTGCAGAAAACATAGGTGTTGCTAGGGCAGAAGGTGTAATTGCCCTAATACCCCTTTCATTCAACATAGCTGCTAATCCACAATTAGTAGAAAATGTTGTAGTTGAATTTCTCCTAGATAACATGGGTGTAGTTTCTCTTGTAGGCACTCGACTATTGACACAGCTATTTACTGCAGTTGACATAGCACTACCTCGAATACTGAATATAAAATAAAATATTAATTTCTCCAAATAAAAATATTGTTATATTATGTTACCTGGTTGTTAGACTACTTGTACCATCATCTGGATGCATGACTCTAGAATTGGTAATAGTAGTAATGTGGGTAGACATTTGAAACATTTTTCCAGGGTGTGTTCTAGGTTCATCTTCTTCAATTTCATCAAGTCTAAACGTTTGAGGAAGCCCTGCTATAGGAGCAGTCGAATCACACTTTTTGATCACACCTTGAGGTTGTTCTTCCAGAATAGAGCTCAGAGATGGGACTGATTGAGCATTCCACTGTTGCAGCGTAAATGATCCTTGCATGGGTTTAACCAACTGCACACCAAATATAAAGTCACATAAAAAAACATATGCGATGAGAATATATAATATTAATATTATTAATTACCTGTAGTTTATTTGGTGTTTTCCAAGTTGACAAACTTATGCTACCAGTAGACATAATCGAATCAGGGGTTCTTGTATCAGCTGAGTCATAAGGATCAGTAAACATAAAACCAGATCCTAACGCTGCACGTCGAGCTTTAATTGATGCTGGGGTCAGCCGTTTCAAGGCATTGGCTAAATCCTCAGATCCGGGAGCACCAGGTATTCCAGGTTGTTCACTATAATCGTTCACATAAAAAAATCATTAATGCCTTGCCAATTATTTAAAAACAAAAATTATAATTTTACATAATAAATGAATCAGTGTCAGAGAAATCATCACAATCACTATGAGTAGGAGATTCCTCAGTAAGATCATTGTAAGCTGTTTGCCTGGACAAATTTCTAGTGCTTGTTTCCATAGCCGACGTCAGCTTCATCATTCCAATAGACTTCTTATAACTACTTGCCCCAGACCTAAATAAAATGATAAAATTGATATGTATATTGTATATTTGTATGATTTGTGTACCCACAACTGAAACAGTTCACTTACATTCGTCCAGTACATATTCCTGAATCTAGACTGAGTTCAGAAAACAATGAGCTCTCCAAAGAACTATGACCATGACTGTGCAGCCCATTTGAGTTCAAATATGGAGGAAGAGACGTGAATAGAGGTCCAGCTCGAGCTAGTGGTATATGTTTCTCTCTATACCCTTTGAGTTCGGCTTGACATTCGTGAAGCATAGTAAGTACTTCTTCATATTGTTTTTTCACTTCGACAATTTCAGATGCTAACTCATTTTGTGTATCCCTTGCCAACATCAACATAGTCATGAGTTCTTCATTTTCATCGTTTTTCTGAAAAATTATAAAGTTATAAAACCACGAAAGTGTATACTAACAGAAAATAAATTACATTCCTTCCCGGCTAACATACTACAATACAAAACAAAACAATTTTTTTCCAAGTATTTTAAGTTTTACTGAAAATATAAAATTTATCTTGATACAATAGACAAAACTTACTGCTAAATTTTTAAAAATTTTAATAAGTGTACAACATACTAAAAATCTTTAACATCATACAAACTATTAATTATTATTTAGTTATTTAGTAAGTATAAGCCTCATAGATGAGGTAATTAGGTAATTAATTATTAATTAGAAATTAATGTTTATTAGGTATTTTATTGAATAATTATAAATTAAGTTTTTTGAATAATTTAACTTTAATTTTTAAGTATTAAATAAACTTATATGAACTTTTTGGTTATTTAAAAAGTTTAGTATGGGTTTCAGCTCAAAGTCAGGGTTTTTGATATCATTAGAATTCGATTATGAATACTAATAAGATTACATACGATTTTTAACGACGCCTCGACGCTGGACAATTTTGAACGTAGAAACTCGCAGTTGTTGTGTAGTGTAACATTTTCATCCCTGTGTTTGTCCGCTTGTTCCATGATGACGGACAGGTCAGACCTCGTCACACTGAGTTGAGATGCGAAGTCAGACATTAGCTGTGCTTCTTTGGCTTCTACCTCGTCGGTTTCCATTGCAAGTCTATTGGCCTCACCACGTAAAGTGCGGTTTTCGTCTTCGAGATTTTTGAGACGTGTTTGTAAATAACCGACACTGACGCCGTAATACTTTTCGTTTTCAACCGCATCATCATCTAACAAACAAACGATAGAAATAACGCAAATCCTTTGATGTAGACTAATGGTTTTTTTTTTTTTTTAATTAAAGATCTTTTAACAGTAATATTTTTAATTTAAAATATAGATACTCACTCGCTTCGTAGCCGGTTTCGTCGGCATCGTTGCTGAGTATTTTGATGAGGTCGTTTTTTTTTTGTAACTCGTATGAAGCCTGTGTGTAACGCTCGTTGACAGTCTTCAACTCTGTCTCAAGCAATCCCACCCTGGCTTCAAGCGTCTGGTTGCCGGTTAAAAGTTCTTTGCCAATGCGCGCTGTAAGCTCCAAATCTTTTTCTTTCTGTTAAACGAAGAAAAAAACGAAATTATTAAACATTTAAAACACAATTTTAAAAACTGCAAAAACCTAAACAAATTATTTTCGTAGTTATTATTATAGAAAACAGTAACAACAATTGTATAATAATGTACGATGTATAGGTCTACTCACTTCTGCTAATAGTTGGGTTACTGCTTCGATATCATTATAGGTTTTTGTCATTTGGCTTACGCGATTGCTGCATAGAACTGAAACACATATCACGATAATATAAATAATATTAATGAGTATAACAACAAAGGGCAATAATTAATCAAAATATTTGTATAAACTGAAAAGACAGTTCGACGTCATTGATATAGGTTGATAAGCGCTGACACTGCTATATTTATCTATACGTGACGCAACTGATATTTAAAAAGGGGTGGTACTCAAATGGTGAATAGGGTGGTAGTCAAAGGGGGGTAGATACGTTTATTGATCCACACGCGCTGTCGCTTCAGCGGGCGTCTGTACACCCGGAGTCTGTTTATTTTTTAAAATTGCATTTTCGATCTGTATATGGTAATGTTTACAACAAAACAAACGAAAGTGTTACAACAAGGGTTAATAATTGTTTTTGAAAATTAAGTTTTTTTAATTACAAGGAATTTTATAGTTTTTATTTAAACAATAATCCATATTTTTTAATTAAGATTCTGAAAATAATCTCAACATTTTGATACAAAATAACAAATAATACATGTTTTAAAAAATTTAAGTTAAGATAAGCGAAATAATGGTTGTATATAAGTTGTATTCAACATGACGTTTGCACTATAAGCTTTAAAGTATAGATTCTTTTTTTAACTCGTTGACTTTAAAGCTTAAAATAAAAAACTAAAATTTAGCCCACACGATAAAGTATAACACAAACATTTTTCAAGTAAAAGTAACTTAACATTTTAGCGAGTGTTTTGACATTGGGATGCTAAATTAAAACCTTTAGTGTTAAGAATTAATACTGCTCAATTTGCAAAATCGCTACAACAGATTAATTGATAAATTATAACTTTTGATATCTACCAGACCATAAAAACATTTAAAATAATTTTCTGCATTCAGTACATATCGATTTTGAAAAGATCAACACGTAATTAATAATAATATAGCTTTTTAAGTACGCGTATTCAAATTAAACAATTAAAATGTTATCAAATGACGGGGGGAGGTTATTATTAATGTAATTCATATAATATACATATACGATGTACGTTGTTTAATTAAATAACATAGCAGAAAATAAACTATACATGAAATATCATAATTACGAAATTAAATAATGCTGTGTCAAAACAATAGAATAACTAAAAGGGTTTGACATTCAAATTTTGCTCATACAATAATGTAAATATAAAATAATAATTCATAATTTTCAAGATTATAATACATGAGCACATAAAAGCGTGTCGCGTTTTTTTCAAGGTTAACTATTAAGTACATAAAATATGATTAAATAATAAGTATATAAATAAATAAAAACTATTAAATACTAATAAATAAAATATTATCAGAAACCTTATAGAGTTAACTATTACACATAAAATAAATGCAGTAGACTGTACACGTAAGAAATAAATAACAATCTTGATCGACTATAATATTTAGGTATAATAAAATTGTTTACTGCGTATGAAAAAGAAATTGGATTTGGGTTAAATGTAATTTCCTACCAGTAATATATATTATTATCTGAGAATAATTAGTATTAAATGCTTTTTTATAAGTACTTAAGTTTTTGATGAAATAATAATAGAAATTATTTTTGGTCATAGGATTTAAATAATAGATATACCTACCTAATGATAATAATAATATATTAAAACATAATTTAAAATATCTACATGTGAATACATCTATTAGTTGAATAAGTTACATTAATAATTACTTTAATTATTAAAATTAATTTAATAATATTATTATTATAACAAATATTAAATAAGACAATTCGTCGAACACAAATCCAAGGCTGTAAATATATAGGTACACGATCTACACGAATGAACATTATGTATGTGCGTATTTCCTCATTTAAAACAATAGTTTGAAAATAATTGTATACTGATACAAAATAGTATAATATATACAATATTTATTGTATATAGTATATAGTATATAGAAAGCATGACAAGTATGCTCTATACTACAGGTAGAAAAAATGTTATAGATACATGTAAGATGTTATACTATGAAAAATAGTATAGTATAATAAACAAAGAACGTAAAATAAACAATTGAAACACACAACTTATTGTAGTTGTACACATGTACCACATGCACTATCATAATAGAAAACAACAATAAACAAAGCTATACTACAAACGTTTTGAAATTATACTCAAGTCCCAGGAATGGTACATATCAATTCATAGTTAATAATAGTTAATGATTGGTCTCTGACACACGTAAATGAAGATTATTCTGACTATTCATACACACGAACAATCACTATTATAGGATTTTTATAATGATTTACTGGAAAACATTTTACTTACGTAAATAATAAAAATCAGTTATGTCTACTTAAAAAATAACTTTAATTAATGTAACACCATAGACTTGAATAATAATATATAGAGATATAATTATATCGTATAATATGTATTACGGGTAGTAGCAGTTAGGAAACGAGTGACTGGCAAATAATTTAAAAAAAATTTTTCAACTTTATTGGTTATTCGGTTATAATATTTAGCACATGTACGTTAACAAACTAACTCAAATACGCAATGAGGTAACAATAAGAATCAAATATGATGAGAGAAATACATGTACAATATTTGTATATATAGAGTGAGCCACTTAATTTCCCATTTTCTGGCATTAAGTTAACACTTAACATGGAAAAATGGGAAAACACCTTTTTATATACTAAAGCAAATGTGAGGCAAAAAATAATAAGGTACTAAATACATTTTAAATAAACGTAATAAACTAGTATATAATTACGAAATACACAATGTGTAATAAAATAATATACTTCGCTAAGTATCATTAAATTTAAATATGAAAGTTATTAAACGTGGAAAAGAAAATGAAGCTTTTATCCAATCTAATATATGGGCACGAATTCTATAGGTAATTAACTACATCCTACATCGGGTAATCGGTTTAATTGTTAAAGCTTAATATAGGTACTATTTTAGTGCATTTGTATAATACAGGGTAAAATCCACAAGATTTTAATGTTAAACACTCATTAATTATTATTTATTTTGAAAAAACATAATTTTGTAATAATTTCAAATTATGAAAAAAAAAATATGCAATTTTAAAAACTTTAATAGTTTTAAAAATATTAAGTATTTTGTTAAAAAAACTAGCACTTATATAAAATCCACTACCAATCTACTTATGAGTTTTTTGAACAAAACATATTTATTATCAGACATTAAAAATAAGTAATGACTATTATTTTTTTACACTGATATTTTGTATCATAAATTTATTTATTTATCCATAAAATACAAAATCGCGTTAAAATTAATTAGAGACAAAAGTAAATGTAATATATACGTGGATAATTGATAACATTTAACCACGAATGCAGTTTTTACATACGTACATTTTAGTAAATACTACATAATTAAATTTTTTTTTTAAATACTCGCAAGTTAATTATTACTGAATACTTAATAATTACTAGATAAAAACGTTTAATAAACTCTTCTATAGACTTTAATATAATCTATTAAATATAGTAAATAACCATATATTTCTGAAATAAAATAAAACATTTTTCTTCAGCTTTTAACGTATCGTAATATTTAATTTAAATGATTTAAGTCTATCTAAATTATATTTATATTATAAATAAATTAAAGATAAAATATAAGTTTTGTACTTTTATAGGTAAATCCCAACTTAAATAAATTCACCAGACTGAATTAGAAAGAGTTTAAAATGTATAAAATATTTTACACATAGTAATAGTCTCAAACCGTATAATTTTATAGTCAATTGCCAACAAACAGTCAACATGAACATCAATTTTTCTGTATTGATTGTTAAAAAATGCGAAAAACTATGTATAGATGCCCAGATCCCACATTATATACTTTAATGTTTGAAACTTAACACGCACGTCACATAAGTGTTAACCCACAATAATGAATGAGAAAATTTGCCAATTTATAATATTTAGAAAATATTTTTTTTTTCAAAAAAGCGTTAACATCGTTGTCTTGTCATTGAGTGTTCTATGTATGTTATCATCTAATATTTAATATGTTATACGTATTACATTACAAAAAAATAATTTGTTAACAATTTCCTTAAGTATGTATTTGGTGAATTTTATAAAAATTGTACATACTGTATACCGATATAACAAAACTTGGAAAAATATAATGCTTATAGGACAGCGGTTCTTAACCTTTTATAGATCATGGACCCTTAATAAAAGGTTTTTAGAAATCGCAGACCTCTTAACAATTTTTTTTTTTTTAAAACATCTTATATTATCATAACCAAATTTATAATCATTTTAATTAGAATTAATTTTTCATAAAAAAAATAGTGTAAATATGATAAAATAGGTTTATTTTTTTATACAACAAGATATATTATACATAAAAAATAAACAAATAAGAATCCAACAATACTGTAATAATATACTCATGTATGTTAAGTTGTTCGCGGACTTCTGAAATGAGTATCACGAACCCCTAGGGTCTACAGATTAAGAATCGTTGTTATAAGATGTAGTTAGAAAATAAATTTTTATTATGTTAATTATTAACTTAAAAATTAAAAAATAACTAATTTATATTGTACTAGTTGATTTATAATTTATAAAGTTTACACTTTATTATAAATATACGTATAACATCTTTCTAATTAATAATAGATATATTCATTATTTACACACTTTCTATGTTTTAGATATTACACACACACCAATATATGTACACAATAATACGGTGATTAATAATAATACAAATATTCACTTATAAGTTATAATTAACAATGTTTTGTTTTGTAGAAATGCTATAGTTATTACTTAAAATAATAACTATTATATTGTTATAGTTGAAAAATGGTTGTTTTGTTTATATTGAGAAAGGAACTTTGTGTGTGAAAAAAATACATCATAATTAAACGATTTATTACTTTTTATTGCCTTATAGTAATGAAAAACAGAAACAAGATGGTAAATCGATACTTTTTAGATGTATCCCACAAAACAAAATAATATCATTAAAATTAT